AGAGAGAGCGATGAGTAAAACGTACGTGGAGCATGATAAAGGCTGTATCTTACTACATTTATAACTTTTAACTTACTAACATGCCCTAGACGCATCTTGGAGCTTAAAAAATATATATCTGGTCTCCACAGCGAGAGAGTCTAATTCTGTAGATCTGGGGTGGGATCTGGGCGCGCATGAGCTCTCCGAGGCTCTTCGTTGATGCCGTTCCTTTGTGAGTTGTTAAAACCCCTCAGTGATTTTGTTGCCCTACTCAGGTTGAGAATCACCATGTTAGGAAGAGGGAACAGATTTGTTTGGGGGCATAGAGAGGAAGTAAGTTATCAAATATATCTGGGTCTTGGTTTCCTCATCTGGAAAAGGAGGCAGAGTTGGACTAGGTTAGCTACTCATTTTTTTGTGGTCTCTGCCAGTCAGGAGGTTCTTTGGTGGTTACCCAGTAATTTGTATTGTTCGGGGGATTTCGTTGTTGTTTTGTTTTAAACGTACAAAAGATTGTTTCTCAAGTAGGTGTAATTGGGAACCCCTTGGAGTGCCCCTTGTTCAAGGTCCTGTTCCTAGGGGAGCACTCACAAAAATGAGGGTGACATGTGAGAAAATGGGTTCACTGGTGCCAGTGATAAACTATAGACATGAAGAAACGTGCCGAATCCAGGGCCTAAGGTCACTTCGATTTAGGTCCCTTTTCTATCTTCGGATATAATTCTGGCCACCCAAATCACTGAAAGTTTTTTTTACATTTTTTCCCATTCATTCAGTTTTATTTTTTTCCTTCTATTTAAGAAGAGAAAGGCGGATTGGTATCTGAAGACTATGGAGAGGAAGATATTTCTCGCCTCGGGGGTGATGAAGATGGTTATGAAGGAGAGGAGGATGAGAACAGCAAACAGTCGGTAAGTAAATTTGTTCCCAAATCCAGAGCTGCTCAAAGCAACATTTTATTTGGCAGAAACTTTCTGAACTGTCCCAACATCGTTCCATTTCATGCCTATTTCATTCCTTCCCCACTTCAACATGACACTTTGGTGTCGGTTAAGGAAACTGGGTTGGATATCAGCAGTTCTGTTTGAAAATCAGATTTGTTTTCACCTAGAACATTTCGTATTAACCTTTGAATTGAAATTTTAAGAGAAAGATGATAGACTGTTTTATTTAACCCAGCTATCAGTGGGTGCTTAATGTTGGTTTTCCCTATTTAGATAATTTATTCCTTTTGTAGGAATTTATTCATCCTAATTGGTATATCATATGTATCTGCAATCAACTCTGTATTATTTTTAATCTTGGTTGGGGCTCATTCAAATTTTTCAGTTTATTTAAAAGATTAGATAGGAAAATTATTATTGTGTGTATGTGATTTAATTCTTCTTTCTCAATATTTTACTTGGCACTTTCTATCACAGTGCCCTTGGTCATAAATTGTACCTGAAGTTTAACATGTGTTGGCTAACAAAGAAAATAGAATTTGTGTCTTAACCAGAAAAAATTTAAATAATACACTATCCCCTGAGCATCATGAGCCAAAATCTAAAAGTTTGGAGAAAAACAAGGATTCATGCTTAGCACAAAGACATACAAAGTTGAATCTGGATATTTAGCAGCAGCTTTAATTGAAACACTTTAATCGTACTTTATTATCTGTCTGAAAACTTGGTTAGGCATCGATATTTAAATATTACCATTAAAGTGCTTTCCAAATTCAACAGAACCATGCTTTGCGTTTTTTGCTCTTTTAAAAGATACTTTTATGCCCTTAGCCCCACCATTATACTAATAATTCAGAATTGACTGAAATTGGTTAGAAAAACTTAGTACATTTTCTTTTCCTGAATTTTCTGAAGTGCATACATACTGGCTTAACATTCATAACTATTTTCTTTAATAAATACACATGATGTGTGTTTTCGAAGTGTTATTCCGCATTTGCTTTGCTTAGAATTTTTATATTTAAGCTTTATTTCATATTTTAGTAAAATCCTCTCCAATCCCAATTCTAGAATGTGATTGTTTTTGGCCGAGCTACATCTCTGATATTTGGCATGATTGGGTTCATTTTAAGGAGATTATGGAGATTGCATTTAAAACGTTTGGCTCACTGACACCTTACAGGACAGTTAAAGCTCAAAGCCTTTGGTGTAGTTTGTTCAAGTCTCTCAGGTGGTGTTTATATTAACATTTAGAGTGCTGTTTAATCTTAGGGTTAAAAAGTGTAGCTCGACTGAGAAAAGCAGTTTTAAATGAAACTTAATCTTTTCCTGGGCGTTAGTTAAAGGCTCCTGTGCATTGGGGTGTTCTGGGTAGTGGGACAGACGTGGATATAGCTACCTAATAAGGGAGCTGATCTTTGAACTTCATTGGCATTTAGTGGAATGGTGTGCTAGCTGTTGTGATGCCAGTGCACGCTTTGGAGAGTGCCTTGCCCACGTGGTGCTTTGTGTCAGGCAGGCCATTTGGATAAGAAACAAGGCTTGATAGATTGGGTCAATGGCAGTTGTCTGAGAACTTGGATGGAGGCAGGGCCCACTCAGCTGGGACCGAGGAAAGCCTAGGCATTGCCCTTTAGTCGTGCCTTTCCCGGGTCACTTGCCCTGGTCATTTGACACCTATTTTCCTGCTCTTCATACTGGTGCAGATGCTACTGGGTCTTGAAGTGCTGGGGTGTAGTTGCATGGAGGTCACAGCCCTCTGGCGGTGAACGATGTCAGTCAGATGTGTTTGTGTATATGAGAAGCAAAGAAGGAAAAAAAGTTCATGTTCCTGGTTTTAAATAATTGATATTTCATTGGAGACAGTATGCCTGTTTTGTACTGTGGGGCCTGGTCTCAATCTTTTCTGAAGCATACTGTGGCCTTTCTCCATTTTTATGTATGCGATTTTTAATCTTAGGCGTTTTCATTAACATAGACTGTGGCACTGCTAAAGTAATGACTTTGAGCTGCCAATGTTCTTTTTTCCCCTCAGAACATCTCCTTCCCCCTTCTCTTTCTCCAGTTCTGGGTCATGTGGCAGGGGAGGGGTCTTTGGCAGGGTGACCCAGGCTGGGTAAATTTCCTCTGACCCCTAGTTATGCGTGGGCGGACACTTGGGCCCACTCCTTCAAGCTTAATCCTCTAAATTCTTTGTCTTGTAGGAAGATGACGATTCAGAGACTGAAAAACCTGAGGCTGATGACCCAAAGGTATTTGGTGTTGGCTCTGGTGGGTGGCTGGATGCAAACGAGGCATTTTAACATTATGGTTCAGTTCATCTGTCCGGTCAAGATCTGTCCCACTAACACTGTGCAACTGTGTGTAAATTTTCTGGGATGAAACCAGTTTTATAAAGAAAGCTGGAGACCACTCTGAAATGCGTAAGTCTTGAGGTAGCTTGGATTGCCAGCCCTGCAGATAGTGCCAGATCTCCAGACTAGAGAGGCGAGAGGCGTGGCTGAGTACAGCAACCCACCTGGGCTCTGTAGCCAGGTGGGCTTTGTGGGGTCACTGCCCCTACAGGTGGGTTAGATATGGGAATGTTTTTAGAATTGAGAAGCCATAAGGGCTGCCTTGTGTATTCTGGATTCTCAGTCATCTAAATACAAGGAAGGGCCAGAGAGGGTGAGACAGTGAGGCCTCTGCCAGCTGCTGGGGATACCGAGCCTAATCCTGTGTTTTCAGAATTGAATAAACGGTGAAGAGTGGTCTTTTTTAAAACAACATAGCCAGTTCTTATACTTCCCACTCTTGGATAAACCATGCAGAATGGTCTTTTCTGAAACAACATAGCCAATTCTTATTGGATAAACCATGCAGAATGATCTTTTCTGAAACAACATAGCCAATTCTTATAGTTCCATCCTACTAGCAGCCAAGAGTAATGAGCAGCGTTTCCTGTCACACTCCCTGACCCAGTCACGGTGATGGTTAAGACACCCCCTCTTGTCTGGCTAGCTTGCTGTACTGTGAACTGGGCATTCGTACAGGTGTGTCTTTTGAGGAAACAGTCTTTAGTAACAGACTTCCCTCTCCCTGCAAATAGAAAGACTAATTCCATTATTCTAGGCCTGAGGAATAGGAACCACGTTTTGTGATTAAAAACTGATTTAAAACCAGGTGAGGCCTTCAAGGCGACCTGGTGGAATTTAGGAAAATTACACCCAGTTAGAACCTAAAATAGTAGTGCATTTGAAAATACAAAACGAGATGTTCCAAATGTGAACTGTTCCTGTGATGGATAGATCTGTTTGAAACCACTGAAATACACCCATGAAAGGCTGTGGACGATACAGAGAAGAAAATATTTAACCAAGAAAGTTTTGGCACCAGCACATAGGAGAGAAAAAAACGTATCCTAGGAACTGCAAATGCAGGCTCTTTTCTGTGTCTGGTGAGGAACCCAAGGACTCATCCAGGTGTTACCAGCAGCAGGTGGACCTGTGGCCTGGATCAGGGATGGTCACAGCTCTGTTTGAACTTGGAATATTAGTATTCATCTTCTGGCTTATTATGTGGGTGTATGGGCCTCGGACCCTGTGCATAAAGTAAGCCTGAGGAGACACCAGTGTTGGGCCTTCAGTGGTGGAAGGAAAGGAGGATTTGTGGGACCTGGAGCCTTTATGTGTAGAGTTACCAGCCTTCGCCAGAAGCTGGAACTTCCTGGGGAAGCTGGCTGAGGAGCAGGATGTGTGCACGTGTAACTCGCCCCTTCTGGAAGACAGTGATTCAGACAGAATTGGGGAGCTTGTCGTTGTGTCTTTTGTGCTCAGCTTTTCCTTTCTCAGTCCCACAAGAAGGTTAGAAAGATGTGTCATTTTACTTGCTCTTGACTGATATGCTTTACTGTGTTTCATTCAGTCATTCGAATTTCAAGTCTGATTGTGTAATGAAAAGTTTTTTGGAACAATCTCTGATCCCGTTGGGGAGCCCTCAGAAATCAGAACACAAAATTCAGCCCTCAGAGTAACTCGGTGAATGTAGTTCTTTTGGAGGGGCGTCCTCTTGTCCTTAGTTGGCCTAGCAGAGGCCCACCGGGGGAGAAGGACCATGAGGCCTCATGGCGTCTCCACGCTCTAGGACCAGTCCCCAGCCTGAGTCCCTGGGCACCCCTTTCCTTAGCCCTGGCCCTGACTTCCTCTCCCTCCTGAACTAGCATCAGACTGTCTCCCCTATAGCATACTTCACCTCAAACCGCTCTCAACTCTCTCTCTATTCCAGAACTTTTCTGGCACACATAAGTTTCATTTTACAGTATCTTTGTATTCTAAACCCTAGTTTTGAATATTTCTGCCTTAAGTATATGAAGTTTCTAACAATAGGATACCTCATAGGAGGTGTCATTTTGTTAGCAAATGGATTGATGTCATAACTGTCTTTTCCACTAGGTGGCACTCCTTACTTTGGCTCTTTAAGTTTTGTTTTAATTTTTTACTACAGCAGTTCTCAGAACATTTTGGTTCCTTTACACAATTAAAAATTAGGATCCCAAACAGCTCTTGATTTTGGCTTTATCTGTTGGTATTTATTTTCTTAGAAGTTAAATTGAGAAAATTTTTAAATCTTTATTTTAAGCTAACCTATTACATTTTAACATAAATAACATTTTTATGAAAAATCACTATTTCCGAAACTAAAAAGTTAGTAGAAAGAGAGGCATCGTTTTGGCATTTTACAAGTTTCTTAACGTCTGGTTCCTTTACGCAATTAAAAATTAGGATCCCAAACAGCTCTTGATTTTGGCTTTATCTGTTGGTATTTATTTTCTTAGAAGTTAAATTGAGAAAATTTTTAAATCTTTATTTTAAGCTAACCTATTACATTTTAACATAAATAACATTTTTATGAAAAATCACTATTTCCGAAACTAAAAAAAGTTAGTAGAAAGAGAGGCATCGTTTTGGCATTTTACAAGTTTCCTTAACGTCTAACATCTAGCTTAATAGACAGCCAGGTTCTCAACTGCTGCATTCAGTCTGTTGGAATATGTTGTTTTGGTTGAAGTGTTGGAAGAAACTGTCTTCACAAAGATAGGTCGCTGGAAAGAGAAGTATTTTAATAGCCCTTCAGGTGCTTGTGGATATTCTTCTTTGATACTTCATCAGAACTCAACAAGTGGTAGTCTACTAAAGCTTAGTTAATTGCAATATGGAATGTGCAAACTTATCGATGAACTTATATGCTCTGCTTCATTAAAATCCATGGTCTCTCTTGCACTTTGAATGACTTTTACCCATACATGATACTACGTCATCAGACACTAGTGATTTGGAAAATGTTGGTTCACTGAGTTATGTACACCTCCTCAATGTTGACACATTTTATTCTTTAACATCAAAAAAAAATCGTGTTTGTCAGTGACATTATTGATCTTCTCAGATAAGCCATTAAGTATTGGGGAGCCGTCATGCTTTCAGTGGGGAGTACTCATTTTCCCAGATTCTAATTTTATCATTGCCAATCAATACTATCAGAGTTTTCCTTGAAATGACAGGTTTTGTTTTTGAAAAAATGTCTACCAGATATCCAAGTCAAAATAACCATAGTTTGTCAGTCATTCTTTCTAGTCAAAATGGTGTTCCATGAAGAAAGCAGCTAATTGAGCTCAGAACTCAAACAGGCCCGTATGTGCTTTCCCTTGAGGTAACCAGCTTTATGCATCCCTCTCCTTCATCATATAAAATGCTAAAAACAAGTTGTACTCTGGGATCAAGGACATTCGTAAGTGAAATTGTCTGTTTTTTTTTTTTTTTTAACTGAGCGTATGACTCCTGTTAAAATGTGGTGCCGCTGCCTTGATCGATTCTAAAGGGCCAACAATTGACCCACCATCGCTCCTCTAGATGTCAACACAGTGAAGAAGGCAAATCTGAGTATTATGAAAATAATTTTGACCTTGCAGACCCCCAAGCGTCCACAGATCAACTTTCAGAACCCTCGTTCTTCAAATTAAAGCTCGCGGGCTGGTAATATTAAGTAACTGTTCACTGCTTTCACTCCTCTACACGTGTCTGTTAAGCTGTTAGCCTTAGGGGATCTTGAGCTCATCAAGGCGGGAGGGCATCCAGAGTGAGAGACACCCCTGCCCCGGTGATGGAGGAGAGTGAAAGATGGAGTCAGAGACCTGGGTTTGAATTCCAGCTGTCCTCGGGGAAGTCCCTTCACCTCAGCGTTTCTCATCTGGAAAATAGGCATCATAAAATCTGCCTCGTTTATTTCATGAGGATTCACCAAGTAAAATGTAAATGAATACTTAGCCTAACAGTGTCTGGCACGTCTGTGTTCAGTAGCATTAGGTACAGTGACCAGTACCACCTGTGCTCACTTCCAGGCTGGTCACACATGCCATCAGCCTATTTTGGAATATTGAATTCTGCATTTAAACTGGAGTGCACTCAGAGAGAGAAATCTTAAAGACAAGGAAACTTAAAACCACGTCATGTGGGGGAAGTTAAGGAAATGGGAGAGAGAAGGCTGAGGAGGAGCTGAGAGTTGTCTGCTCTTTGAGGGTCTGGTAAAGGAAGGGAGGTGGCAGCCAGGGAAGCCACACGTGAGCAACAGAAGGCGTTTGCCTTCATCTGACGATGAACTTTCTGTCATCTGGCCAAAAGTGGGTCGAGCTACTTCAGGAGGTAGTGAGCTCGCTGTTAGACCTCTTTCAGACAAGTTTTAGGAAACCATTTGTCAAGAATGTCCTAGAAGGAATTTGTGGGTTGCAATTGGACTAAACCCCCAAAGAGTTTCCTGGGACAAGACTTGGGCATTATGGATGACCAGAGTTGAGTATTCTTTAACTTCATTATCTGTCAGCTTTAGAAAGTACAAGTGCAGAGTACAAAAACTTTGAGAATTACCTTAATTTTTATCACTCTGATGTTTGGGGTTACCAGTGAGTGCTCGAGTAAGAAATGATAACTCCAGACCCACCTCTGGGGAGCCTTTGGTCCTGATCCATCAGCCTGGGGTGGCTTAGGCATTGCTGAGATTGCCCTGAACTCAGGAGAGGAGGCTGGATGGGGTGGCTGAGCAGCCCACAGAAAACAAGGCTTTGGCTCCTCTGTTCCATCGTGTCCGTTTCTCGAACTTCAGTTTTCTGGTCTTAACCTCTTCAGTAAGCAGCCTGCCTCAGATGCTCTGATTACTCAACAGAACGGGCACTGCTGTCATAGAGAAAGTCAAGACAAGTAGTGGCAGTGGAAAGTGGCAGTCCTTGGTCCAGCTCCTCACTGCAGGGACGGGGTGCCTGGTGGCTCAAGTGTTTCCTCTTCCTGTTCACCCTTGGCACATGAGCTTCCCTTGTCACCACTCTCCTTTGTCCATGTTTTACCTCGGTTGCCCTGGAACGTTTTCCTTGTTTATTTTTTTCCCCATTCCCACAGTTCCTGTGGATGAAGGTATTTCCACTCGCTTACTGTCCCTGACACACCCTTCCTTTGAAAACAAACATGGGCATTGATGACCTGGCTCGAGAAAGCTGGAGCAGCCCGTTGCCAGCAAACTGGGAGGGCTGGCCTCCCCCGGGGTGCTGTGGTCCAGGCTTTGACCCCGGGAAAGAATCCTCCTGGCCCAAGGAGCAAACATCTGGCAAAACAAAACAGTGTCCCTGGGTCAAGGAGGTGGCGTCGGGTGGGGAAAAAAATCATTTCAGCATTTTTTAAAAGGCGTATTTAACCCCAGTTAAAAGAAAACATTTAAAAAGTTCTTTGGGCCCAAAAATAATGCAGAAATGTGGGGTTCACAGCATGGAGCTGGTCTGGCAGACCTGGAGTCAGAAGGCCTGGGCTGAGCGCTGGCCTCCCTCCAGCCGTGGATCACAGGCACACAGCTGAACCTTCACCGGCTCATCTGTGAGGTCAGGGCTGTGGTACTCACTTCACCAGGTGGCTATGACAGCGGTATGCGATGTATGTAAACGTACTTTTCACAGTCCGATGTCTTAAATGTGTTCTGTGAGTTTGAGACTCTGTAGGGCCACATGTCATTTTTACCCGATTTAGGAAGCTGTTCTAAGATGCAGTTGTTAGCACTGCTGAGCCTCTTTAGCCAAAGTGCATCTAATGTTATGCCCTCATCCTGTGGGGCAGAAATTGGCACATTTCTCTGTTCAGAGCACCCTTAGGGGGTTTTCACAAAACTCCTGGAGAATCCTCACTTGTGGAATATTCTACTGAAACTTATTTTTCAGCATGGGACAGCAGAGATTATCTGTTAGAGCTTAACTGTGGACTTTTCCTTAGGGATCTGTGACACGGAAATGGTTATATGGCACTTTTTCCGGTGGTTTCATATCAGGGTTTGGTTTGTTTTTATATCGTGCATGTTTTATTGTCCAGTTATTATAATATCAAGATGGAAGATTTTGCAAAAGGGGAAAAAAAATCACCTAATTTCAGTATTTTAACAGTGTAGTCATTTTCATTCTTCCATCTTTTTATGTTCGCGCCCGTATAACAGGGTGTATATTTTGTATGTAGTTTTGTTTCCATTTGAATTATAAACATCTTCAGTGTTGCTACAGTTTGGGTAATTATAACAGCATGATACAAATGAAAGATTAAAAACTAAGCACTTAAGAATTATGCAGTATGTGAGTTATGTGTCAATAAAACTGCTACAAGAAACAAAATTTTTAAAGATTTTTCTAAATATCTCCAAATGGGAAATGGTAAAGAAAAGGCTGAGACCCACCAACGTTTGTTCTAGTAGTGATAACAGACGTTAGCGACACACTTTTTCACATCAGTTTCCTTAGACCTTGTATTTTCAGCTAGCTAGCATAAAATCCAGAATTAGTACATTGTATTAGCAAACTATGCGTATATTTTTATAGTTATTGAATAAAATGCTGTGTAGGCAGTTTCTGTCCAATGAGAGTCTGCGATGGGCAGGAAACGTGCTGTGCTCTTTACAGGGGTCAAAAAAATAACTCATTCTTTAAAAGTTGAGTTCTCATTGCAAGTCCACGTGATTATTCACCTGGTAAGGGAGGAGGACTTGGTAGGGGCCAGGATTCAGTAGCGTTTCTTCTGTAAGCCCCCAGGAAGTCTCTAAGCTAAGGATAGGTGGTGGCGCCCACTGTTGACATGATTAAGTCTTCAGGACCAGCCCTTCCGTTTAGTCTACTCAGACATTACTCACTGGGGCACCATGGACTCGAGCTGTTTCTACTGTTCATCATAGTTAAAAAGTCATAAATTTAGCCATTTCCCCATTAAGTCAAGGGTTTAACACCTGCTTTGCTCTGTGACCTGCTGCAGGGTCATTCCTGAAGAGACATTTTTCCTCCTTGACCTTTGATATTGGTTCCCCCAGCAGTTGAACCAAGGGCTTCCTAGAGACCGTTAATTATTTCTAGCCTTCTAGTCGAGAGGGAGCAAGCGAGAAGTTGGGAAGCAGTATCACTGGTGTCGGAGTCAGACAGACTCGGGTTTGAAGTCCAGTATCGTCATCTGCTGGGCAAGAAGCCGCTTCATTGTACTTTGCGTGAGTCTACTCGTCTGTAAAAGAGAAATAATGTCTGCCTCATGGGGTTACTGTGAGACTTGAATAATGTATGTTAGCTTCTAGTGAGTTCTGTGTTCAGGGTATGGGAGGAAGAATGTACGCTTGGCCCCTCCATCTTGGTTTTATCCTGCCTGCCCCATGTTCTGCCTCCCATACCCCATGATCCTTTAAGTGCTGTTGAGAAGAAGGAAAAAAAAAAAAAAATGCAGCGTGACTCACCTAGGACCGGAAAAGGAAACAACCCTTGGCCATTGCTGCTTTGGGAGCCATCCACTCTTAACTTGTCTCTGGAAGTTGTCCTGTGGCCTTTGAAGTGTCGAAAGTGCCCAAGCCTGCCTACCACCTGGCATTTCCCTTTCTCTCACCACGATGAGTGGCCAGATGGCCTTCTCCGGGCCTCATCTCTAACAAGGCTTGGGGCGCCCTTGCAGAAATGGCAGACATGGAGTGTCTATGCAGGGGAGAACTGACTCGCCCCAGGCTGGGGTCTGTAGGTCTCGGTGGTGACCTGATCTGAGCAGCAGACAGAAAGACAGAGACGGAGCCGTCTGTGGAAGTAGTTCTTTTGTTGTCCAGACTGAAAGAAATGTAAGCTGGGCCCTTTGTCTTGCCACCTTCCAAAGAAGGCCTGGCTACACCTGTCACCGAACGCTGCTGAGAGAAACACCGTAATTGCTAGAAGTTGTGATCTCATGCGGGGAACAACAGCCATTGTTCTCCCTCTGAACCCCCCTCTTGGCTCCACCGCAGTGCCATCAGGGCCTTCTTGACTGTACTTGCTCCAAGTCAGCTGAAGCTGAGACTCCCAGAAGCCCCACCCCGCCCCTACATGGGTCCATAGCCAAGGAGGAGCCACTGCCTGCCCGACCCGCCCACCAGGCAGCCTGCAAGCCCCAACAGATTTCCTTCCCTTGGGGCCCAGATGCCGCAGATTACTAACCAAGGTGTGGCTGGGCGCCTCCTTCCCCAGCTGGGATTTATCTTTTTGAAACTATATGATGCAGAAAACAAGCTTCCTATCCTTAGCGACCCAGCACTTCCCACCTTCGTTCTGTATTTTTCGGGGGGTTTTGTCTTGGTTTGTTTTGGAATATTTTTAAGTGCTTATATTTAACAATATTAATGCTTTCTAATAGAAAATATAGAATTCAATACAAGCACATAAGTCACAAAATAATTAGAGACTTTATTTAAGGAGTATTCGTAATATTCTATAGGCTGGTAATGGGCCACGAACTTAGTTACATGATGAGGTTGTTCTTTCCACGTAGCAGTGATTTCTGTAGCGATCACTCCCATCTCCTAAGGCTGAGGCCCGTTGCCGAGTGGCCATGGGGCCAGTAGTCCTGGGACCCAACGCCGTCTTAACCAGAAGTCCTGTCTCTGTTTCGATCCATATCCCTGGAAATGCCGCTGTGCGATTTCTGGGTTCGATGGGGTTTTGCTCGTTTGTATTCCGAACTTTAGAGTTAGATAAATTTTCCCCAAGCAGTGCCATAAGATACTGGCACTCTTTCTGGCCCTGGAGATTAATAATTCCTCTTCCTGTCAGTATGTGGGTGACAACCAGTTTGCTTTTCCACGGTCCTGACTTTCTGTTATCTCAGTTATATTTGCCCCCATGTTAATTCAGCCCCTCGGTTTAGCTGCTGACCTTTCAGGAGGGATATGCTTTTGTAATTTGGTGGCCATGTTGAGTTTGTGTCTCAAAGACTTCACTTTGCTGTCCTCAGCCTCACAAAGCTGTCTCCCTTGTCCTTGTCTTGCTCTAAGCGCCCCCTACCCACTGCCATCCCATATAACAACCTAAAGCATAGAGATACTGTTTTTGTGGAAAACCTTTATGGAAAAAGGCACAACCTGGCCCCACCACTGAGAGCTTAACTCAGATCCTTTATGCAGGGTGACCTTTATACCCAGACATAGCCTACCCCAAGACACCCTCTCCCCTGGGGGGGCGGGAGGGGAAAAGAATGGAATGGCTCTCTCTGAATGTCTTTTACAACTTTCAAGAAACTCAGAATCTTCAAGCATCTTAAATCAAATCTGAGATTACACTTGGAATAATCAGATAACAAAGGCTCCCCTTCGGAAAGGCTCCCGGCCAGAGCTTTGCATTTACGTGGAAGACTGGTGGTTCCCTGTGACAGCGTCAGCCCTGCTGAGCAATGTGGGCTTTGTCCTACCGAGCTTTTTTAGATAGAGAGACTGTTTCCTCCCCGTCTCCTAGCTTTTTCTTAGGTCTACAAGGCCATTTCTAGTGCTGGCTTAATTCGTCTTGGCAGATGGCTGTTTAACCCTTTCCTGTAGAAACCGTCTCTGCTTGGGAGCCGAGCCTTCCTGTGGGGACGCTGGGAATGGGGGGCGACTCCATTTCATCCAAGGCGACCCCACCAGCTTCCGCCCATTTTTCTGATAAATCGAGTGTTTCCATCCCCGGGCAGGCAGCGTGCCATGGCAGTGTCCCGTCCTGACCCACAGGATACAACTGAAGGAAATGGGCGCTGACCGGCTTTCTCCAGAGCTGTCCTGCATATGTGGGAAAAACTGCCCACGCCAGGCATCTGTGCCGCCGCGGGCCGTGCCCATACCGCGCTGCGGTCAGGGCCTCCCCTCAGGGATTACTGACCGCTCTCAGCCCACGTCCGCAACCGCGTCTGTCAAATCACAGTCACTATTCTGGAACTTGGAGGTATTTTGACAAAAGTCCCAGAATTGCTGCTTTCTTGGCCACATGAGTGACTCACACTTGCATCTCCGAAAACCTCGTTTTGACTTTCATTTTGGTGCCTTCGGGAGGGCTTCCCAGGCCCGCCGTCTTAAGTAGCAGTATTGTGTGCCCACAGCCTCGTGGGGGTATCCTGCGAATTAGATGAGGTCTTTCACTGATGTCCTTAGCATCATTTAGTCCCCTGGATTGAGTTTTGTTCACATTATACGCCCAGTGTTTGGCCATTGCCTGGTCCATAATAAATGCTCAAAAAATTATTTGTGGAATAAATAAATGAATTAACTATACAGCAGTTCTTTTTGTCTTAGGATTAGGAGTAGCAAGCTAGATTTAAGGTTTTTGAAATTCAGTATTGAGCCCCCTCTCCTTCCGTCTGCCTGCCCCACACCAGCCTTTTATTGCACGCCCGGCCCTTTCATGGTTCTTCTGCTGCCTCCCTTTCTGACATCAGTGTGGACTTGAACAGATTTGGAGTCTGGGGGTCAAAGCGCTGCAGCTCAGTGAAAGTGGCTATGAAACCCTAAACTGGACTGAATGAAAACCACTGGCTGGTTAGAAAGGGGAGTGTGCATGTGTGTGTGTGCGCGCGCGCGTGTGTGCGCGTGTGGTGTCAGTGTTTGAGCACCTGTCGTGGGCAGGGCACTGACTGTTGCAGGTGCTGGGAACACAGAGGTAAATTAGACCGTGAGAGCACAGGGTCGGGCAGGTATGCTCATTGGCCGGGTGGGGTGAGTAGGGGAAGGCTTCCTTCAGCTGAGTTCTGAAGTCTGGGTGAGACTTGCTAGGGTGGGAGCGGGTGTTCAGGGAGCGGGCTTTGCCAGGGCCCTGGTGAGGCACCGCTCCTGCTGGAGGAGGGTGCTGAAATGGCCTACAGCGAGGATTCATTTTTAAGTGGGCTCTCAGCTCATTAAGTGAGACAGTATTAGGACTTCATAACTATTTTGGCAGCCCCAGGTCTGAGAGAATATAAGATTAGGAAAGCATTGTTTTACTGATCACCCTCTGTGCAGTGCGTTCTGGTGCCCAGCACTCTCAAAGCTAGAGAAAAAGTGATGTTTAAATTTGGCAGAATCCAGCTGCCAGAGGCTGTGTTGCTTTGTCTCAGGTTGGACCCTGGACCTTTGAGTGTGTTTTGTGGGGCAGGTTCCAGGAAGGATTGGTGAAGCATTGTTGGCTGTAAATAAACCTCCATTCTCTCTACGAGGACCTCGAGGACCTTGTACTTCTCTGCCAAGTAAATCCTCCCAGCTCAAATGGCAGCTTATCCCACTTCACGGAGCCATATTGTTTTTACTTCCTTCCTCTGCTCCAGTCCTAGTTTTGTTGGTGGCTGGACTTTTGTATTCTTTGCAGGGGGAACCACATTCCAGGTTCTGTAATTCCTGAACACGCCATGGCTGTTGCATTCTTACAAGTCTCAGACATAATTGATTAAGAACCAAAATTAGGCAGATTCAGATCACTGTTCTCCGGGGCCATCCCCAGCCTGCTGCAGCCACCCCGTGGCCTGGTTACTGGGGCTTTAGTCTCAGCTGAGCCTTGGAAGGCTAGAGGGGTGCAGTCAGAAGAGGCCTTGCCCCAGAGTTTGGTTTCTTTGACCAGCTCAGTGCTCTCTCGCTCTCTCCTCCCTTCCCCATCTTCCCACTTGGCTTCTTAGGAAGCTGTAGATTTTGTTTTGTTTTTCCTTGTGTCTTAGTTGGACTTGAACTAAAGAGCTGAAGCGATTTACCTGGTCTTTTCTCCTAGGAGCCTCTAGGCGACATTCTCTCCTAGGTGAGATGCTTTGTTTTCTTTCTTCTTCCTAAGGAACTGGGTGAAACCCCTCAGCCTGCCGTGTCTGAAGGGGCGTGCACGCGCTCCTGTCCCTGTCCGACCAGGTCTCTAGGCTGTGGGCTCCACGCCTCCCACTGACGCAGACAACTGTCTGGAAAATAGATCTCCAGGCTGAGTTCATTTCTTGGACCAACTAAGAACATCTACCTGGAGGCCAGAGGGATGGTTGCATACAAGTCAAGACAGGTGTCCCTGTGCGTTGCTAAACACTGCTGTGGGGGAGGGGAGAAGCAGAACAGTGGTTTCTTGTTGCTCTTTACTGTACCCTCCTAATTGCCCCCTTCCTGCCTCTTTAAGGGCGTGGTCACACTCTCTCCCTATTGCAGGTTTCGTAAAACCGGTTTCTGGAACTGCTGGCAGTTTAAGAATGTGAACCTTCTGTCTGTCTCCTTAGCTCTGTCATTTTAAACACTTTATCAAATGTTTTTTCTGACACCGTGGCTGGCTTCCAAGATAACTATCCTGGGTGCTTGGTTCTTTTTTGTACCAAATTCCTGGTTCGTGACTAGGGCATGACTGGGAGGAGGCTGTCTCTGAGTCTTGTCTTGAGTGTGACATCCCCACCCCACCCCCAAGTGCTGTCCTCCCCTGAGGCTGCTTTCATTGCTTGAAACTTACCTGAATGGACAGTTGAGCGTAAATGGTTCGAAAAAGCACCTTTGGGTATTCGACACCTGTCCTCTCTGTTCTCGCCAGACACCCAGCCCTCCCTCCTCCCTGAGCTTTCTTCAGCATTGCTTGAAGCCCTGGACCCAACTCCGTGTGAAGAACATGTGGTGTGACTCCAGGCCCTTCCTTGTGAGGCATAATCAAGCTGTTTTCTTTCACAAGCTCAGGGCAGGATTGGGGTTACGCTGCTTTAGGACCCAGAAGAACTAGGGTTGTTGGCGTTCTTCAGGGCCACCATGGCACAGTGACGCTTTCCCAGGAGCTCACCACCCAGCTTGTTCGTGTCGGAGGGCAGAACTACATTCTGAAACATAACAAGTGTGACCACCTGGGGGCGAGGCGCAGGTTCCCATTGTTTGATTCTCCGAGGTCCCATGGGTGCCTGTGACACAAACGGGGAATCTGAACAACCACAGATTCCAGCCTTCCCAGGAGACTCTTGTGCAAGATTGTGTGGCCTCTGATCTATGGAAGCTCATTTATACGTTTGGCCTGTCGACTCTCTTAAGACAGGAGAATCTTCCCACGCTTGGAGTTGGGGCCGTGCCGGATGGTTGGCACTTTGCTTGGAGGGACCATGGAGCTGGATTCCACTGCTGAGAAGTTGGGGTGGCACTTGTTCCTGGGGGTGTTGGGTTTGGGATTGAGTCAGTGTCCATAGCTCCATGGGTTCAGAGTATCCTCTGGGCACACACTGTGTGTGTGCGTGTGCGTGTGCGTGTTCACACATGCATGTCTTGTGAGGGTAAAAAAGCAAAGACTAGACTAATTGGTGAATTGAAATCAACTACCAAGTTTATCTTTTTTTTTTTTTTGTATGTGTAGAATGATTAATTTGGAGGGAATGAGAAGCAAAGCCAAAAAAAGGAAAAACTAAAAGAAGGGGAAAGTATAACTTCCTGCTTGTGATTTTGCCCCATCAACTCTTTCCTCCCAGAAGGTGACTAAACTACCTCAGCTCAGCCGGGCAAGGACCCTGTGACATGTAGGGACTCCACACCTCCCCGTCCCATTGCCAGAGATAGAGAAGCTGTAAGAAGCCCCAGCGAGGCTCAGGGCCCTTTACTGTACCTAAGGAGCCCTGGGAGTGTTTGGCGACTGACTTCCTGCACCTCTAGAGTGGACAGGGTAGAATTCCAGCAGTTCCAACATGGATACCTCACCTCTGCTCTGCATTTGGGGCCGGGACAGTGGCTGGCACTGTGCAGGGCTTTGAGAAGGATCCCCTAGGGGGCCTTTGAATAGTTTGGATTGGTACACCCTGTGACCAGCCACCTGGCCTGGGAGAGGAAGGACACAGGATGTACCCAGCTGATGTTTTCTCACAGTTAGCACCCAGAAAGCTGTCCCCTGGGGGGCAATTTAAAGGCCTTTTTTGGTCCCACGCTTTGTTACTGTCAGCTCTTTAACATTGGTTCCTCCAGAGTCACTGCTACAAAGGGACTGTTGTGGGGCCCCTGGAGACTGGCACTGTCCATGGAGCTGCTGATTGATGACCAGCCCGAATTTGGCATGGCAGTCGTCCAGGCCCGCCTCCTGACCCTTCTCCGCCCCAGTGCAGGCCGGCCTTCTCTTTGCCCACCTGATTGGCAGGGGACGGGTGGCCGAGGAGCCGAGTTGCTAAGCAGCCTCGCTTGGACGTTATGCCCATCCAGGTCGAATGAATAGTTGCAGTGTTCAGAGGAATGAGGGGGTTTTGGCCTGTCCCAGAATCAGGAGGGACTTTTTGAGGAAGGGGGCTAAGAGCTCCTTCTCTGGTCTTAGCGTAGAACCGTTGAACGGAGGAGGTTAGGTGACCTTCCTGCACCTCCCTTTCTGACACGCTGTCTTTGTGTGACGTTTCTTCGTGGGAGTGGAGTCGCAGAGTTCTACGGCTGTGTCCCTGTGTGTGTGACCTTCTCGTCTCCTCCCTCACCGACCAAAGCAAAAGGAAGTGAGATGCAGCCATCTCCTGGGAGTGCAGCTTCTGCCACTTTGATCATTAGCGTGGTGTGGCACTCGAGTCCCCCTGATCTAACTGTTTAAGGGGCTGGGCTTCCCCAGAAATGGGGAGACAGGGATGTTCTAGCCTATGTACATTTGGGACATCAGAAGCGAGGGTCGTCCCTGCCGGGTTCGTGATGGGGCTGGAACCAGGGCTTTCTCCAGGTTAGTTTGGTTTAGATGAAACATTTACTCTGAGCTGTAAAATACAGAGCAAGTCCAGAAAAATGTCTGATAAGAAACCTTTGCTCTTAGGTTTCTGCAGGCAGCTAGAACGAAGGCCGTGTGGGAGTGGGTATTGTGGGGTGGTGGTTTGCATTAAGGAGCAGAGAAGGCTTCCCTCTTTTTAAGGGGAGAATATAAAGCCAACGTAAAGAGAGCTGGGAGACGAGCCAAGGAGAGCCAGAGAGAGAAGCTGCCTCGGTGCCAGGGCCTTTCTGGGGCCTGGTTCCGTCACTTTTCTACCAAAGGCTGGCTCCATGCCTCTCTGGGGTTCATGACCTGCCCCCTTATGATAAAGTCTCCCGTTTTTGTTTAAACTAGAAGTATAAAATAGCTCTTGGGAGTAGATAGTCTTTTGTGTTTTTGTCTTGGTATCTCACGTTGTAAAGTAGCCACCTCTTGCTTCCTCAGTACCAGCTGGGGCAGTGACATTCTGGGGTGGCCAGCCAGGGCTGAGCAGCAGGCCAAGTGTGCAGGTGATGGATGGCTGGCATTTGCTCTCCTCAGCCTTGATGGATATTGGTCCCTGCTGGAGGCCGTGGAGGACAGGCTAAAAGCAGGCAACTGGATCGTCCCAGCTGCTCTGATGAAGGAAGAAGGGTTCAGGGGTCCCAGCAGTGAAGTCCCTTAAGCATCGGCTCACTCTTAGGGTTCCTTGCGGTGCCTTCACCTTTTTTCCTTCCTTAAGTATCCTGAGTGGTCTCTGCAGAAAGTAACTTTGGGTCAGGAGCGCTAGGCTTACCTCCTTGTTTTCTGTTTCTATTTTGCAGGATAACCCAGAAGTAGAAAAACGAGATCCACAGGAATTAGTTGGTAAGTACCCAGGGGGCTTTGGGAGCATAGTCTAAGCCTTGCCCTGGGCTTCTGCCTGGAGCCTGCTGGGCCTGGGGCTTCTCTGCTTTAGCCAAGGCAGCTGCTCTGCTGTGAGCCTGTCTCTCCTACTCTCTCTCTCTCAGAGCCTTTGGCACTTCCTGAGATGTCTGGGTAAGACACCCCGGGAACAATTCTTCTTTGAAATCATACTCATGGCGTGTTTCATTGGGCTTCGATCAGCTGCCAGTGTTGTCAGGAGGGACTCAGGGCCCTTCCTGCTGGGAGCTTGTTCCCCGTGTGCCCGGGGCCATCCTCTGTCCTTGTACCCCCTCATCCCCCCTCTGCTGGTGTAATCACGTGCTCAAGGAACAAACACGTGGTCTCTGCTGGCCCTTTGATCTGTCCCCAGGGCAGATATGCTTTATAGTCCTGGAGTCTGGGATCCTTTGTGACTTGGGGGAGCAGAGTGGTTATGTTTCTGGAAAATGGCACACGTGTCATCTCAGTCTTGTGTTAACCCCAGCTTCTTAATCCTTTCACAAGTCCCTTGACTCCCTCAGTGTGACCATGGACTTGGTAACTGCTCTCCCAAAGCCTGGCCAAACCTCTGTGTGGCGACTGTGACAGTCACTCTCCGGCTCTTCCCCGCTCCGCAGGTGGCCCGCAAATCTGTCCGGGGTGCCTGCTCACGAATTTCCGCCCAGGACTTGGCCTGCAGGTGCCGCTTCCTGCAGCCCCTCCTCCGCCTGTCCTTTTCGGACAGGATGCTTTTACTGGGGATGGGACGGGGGACCCATTCTGGTTTTCTTTCCTAAAAGAACTGAAGATTACGCGTCATGTTTGTTTTCTGAGGAAGGATTGGGTGGGAACGTGACCACTCTGATTCTGCCTTTATTCCTGAATTTTCTGATGAATGGAGTGTGAGTCTTTCAAATCCTATTAAAAAGCAGAATATTCCTAAAACAGTAGAGTTTGCTCTTTAGAAAATGGTGCCGTGGGGATGCACCAGTTGGCTTCATGGGTGAGGAAGCAGAGCACACACCCTTGCCAGGAAGCCCGTGGCCACCCTGAGTGGGTGGCCCCCAGGGCATGGCCTGAAGCCTTGGCCCTCGGCTCGCTTCCCCACCCACTGCCTCACCCACCCCTTCTGTCTACTACCAAGAAACTGGGGGTGGGTCGCGGAGTGGCGCCTGAGGCCACAGTGCCCTCCGCCCCTGCTCCAGCGCTCGTCCTGGGCAAGCGGAATGCGTGTGGGCGTCAGCCGCCCCCACCCGGCCTCTTCCACATCAGCTTTCACTCTCTCTCTCGTTGCCACTTTTTGAAAATAGCTTCATTGAGGCGTAACTTACATAGAATAAGATTCGCCAATTTAAAGTGTGCCCTTTGATGAGTTCTGACAGATATATGTGGTCATGTTAACCCCCACCCCACCACAACCGTAATAGAAAAACATTTCCGTCACTCCAGAATGTTCCCTTTACCTCTCCCCTTGCAGAAAGTTTCCTCCCTCAGCCTCAGGCAAGCAGTGATCTTTCTTCACTGTGGTTTTGCCATTTTTTTAGAATTTCATATAAATCAAGATTTCTCACCCTTGGCATTGACATTTTGGGCTGGGTAATTCTTTGTTGAGGAGGCCCGGCCTGTGCGCTGTGCGGCGTTTTAGCCGTATCGTTGGTCTGTGCCCACTGGATGCCAGTAGCACTGCCCTCCCCCCGCCAGACGTGACAGTGAAAAGTTTCTACACGTTGACAAATGTCCCTTTGTGGGGGCAGAATTGCCCCTAGTCAAGGGCCATTGAAACAGATGGAATCATAGTCTCTTTTTTTGAGCCCCATCCACATTGTTGAACATAGCTACAGTTTCTCTTTATTGCTAGGTATTACTTCATCATCGTAGGGTTTCACCAGCATCTGTTAATCCGTTCACCTGCAGAGGACACAGATCTTTAAGCCTCGTCGTAGTCTTGATTACTCTTGCGGTTTCTCTTTTTTTTTTTTGAGCCCCATCCACGTTGTTGAACATAGCTACAGTTTCTCTTTATTGTTAGGTATTACTTCATCATCGTAGGGTTTCACCAGCATCTGTTAATCCGTTCACCTGCAGAGGACACAGATCTTTAAGCCTCGTCGTAGTCTTGATTACTCTTGCGGTTTCTCACTGAGGAGATACTAGTTTAACTGAACAGAGTGCGGCTTCCACTCCTGGCACCGCGTTGTCAGCCCCTCTGCCTGGACTCAGCGGCTCTGTCCGTCCCTGGGCTTGACTCTCAGGTCGCCGCACTGGTGTGGGAAGCATTTTCATAGGTATTAAAGGAGCCCCAGGTTTCATGGAGCGGATGAAAGCAGAGGAGCCGACCCATAGGTCTCTCCAGCGCTGTCGCTGCTCGACAGCTGTGCTTGCACACCCTGTCCGGGTGCCCGCCTGGAACAGTGGCACCGGCATAGTAATCCAGCTGGCTTCCCCAGGTCCCTAGTATCCCACTGCCTTCTGCTCACAGCCCTGCGGTGTGCCCCAGGCGGTCATTCCTTCACTGCCCGCCGGTACCTAAGCCCAGCTGACCAGCTGCTCCTGCTCAGATTGATACCTGGCAGCCGTGGATATCACGGCTGTTTTCTGACTTGGGCGGGCACAGGGTGAGTCGTGCGGGATGCAGGCTTCTCGGTTCCCCAGTATGGCCGCCCCCCTAAAATGCCCCAGCAGACCCAGGAGCAGCCACAGACTCGGCCACCTCCAGTGCCCGGGCACGTTTCTCATTGTGCTTCCTGCGAAAGTGGTCTGAGGCTCCGGCTACTCTAACAGCCACATACGTGGGCCAGACATCTACTTTACATTGGTTCGGGGACTTAGGAGAGAGTCACTGAAAGGTTGCTCCTGAAGTCAGAGGGATAAACCTTGATCTAGTTTCCCGAATGTATCTTTTCATTTGCCAGTTACTTCCTAGGAATTCTCTTGTTCCTGACCCCGGGCCTCAGGGGGGCTCTCCCTACCCCAGTTGTGCTGTGTACCATTTGAGCTTGAGTGTGGTTGGGTTGCTATGGCAACGCTGTCACACCCTGTTTTTCCAAAAGGCTTTCCTGGCAAATGCCAAAGGGCATTCTTTGTCTCTGGGTCACGTGTTCACACACACACTCTCCACCCCAGGGAAGAGCTTAACCCTCCTTCTGTGTGCCCAAAGCCTGCCCAAGCCCTGCTGGCTTTTGTTGCTGATGCTCATGAAATCGGAGGACCAGCTCAGCCCAGCTAATTCCGCTCTCGGCTGGCCTCTAGCCTGCTTGAGTCTCGGGGCTTGAAACTAACTCCATCTTCTCCCGGGTCTGGGAGGATGGAGGAAGTCGGAATGAGACTTGAACTTCAGCAGATCTGGTGTCACCCTTGCTCTAGGAGTCAGGAGACAGGAAGAAGGTACTGGGCAAAGAGAAGCACGTAGCCCCCTGGTGGAAACTGCTCCTAGGCCGCACCAGTACACAAGTCCATAGCAGGATGTCACCCAGTCTCGGTCCACTCGTCCTCACCCTCAGCCCCACTCAGCTCCGAGTTCTTCACTGTAACATGGAACCCAAAGCACCTTGAGAGGCTAAGAAAACACCAAGCCAGCCCTAGGAAAGGTGGGGCGCTGTGCACCAAGTCATCACGGGCAGTCCCGGCAGCGGCCTGGGACCAAGAGGCTCGCCTGGGGCCTGGCACACAGGGGGTTCCCAGTAAATACTTGCTGGGTGTCGCTGGTGCTGGTTTATTCATTCTTTTCCTTCATCCTGCCCCACCCCGCTCCGCCTGCTGTTTGCTCATTGTATGGCCCTTTTCATGAGAGAATGTTTTAAAGAGCACAGACAGAATCTTACAACAAACAGTACATTGTCTGAGTGATCCAGAGCAGGACTCTGCAGTCACCAGGGTGGCCAGAGGCCACATGGAAAGGAGTGCAGTGGGGGCAGTGGCAGGTCTCCAAGTGAACTGTCCCTTGGGAGCTGTGGTTCTTCACACCAGAATCAGGCGGACCTAAAGAGGTTTGACTGACTTATTTAAAAAAACACTCTAAACTGATCACCAACAGGTAATTTAAATGTCACTTATGCACAAGGCAGTTTTGAATACGTTAAGTCCCAAAGCCTAGGGAGCCCAGAACCCTGTTTCTCCTGTATCTTGGGTAGGATAGCTTGAGATGACAATGGCACCAGCCAACTCTGAGTTTCCAGGATCCCAGCAGGGTGTTTTAGGGACATAGCCCGTAGAGGGTGAGCCAGCGTGTATACCTCTTCCCAGCCCCAAGGTCAGCAACTTCACATTGGTAGCATGAAATTGGCCACAATAGAAGAATTTACACCACGGGGACGGGCAGATGCTGCAGATCGTGGCTGGTCCCGTCTCCACCTCCCACCCCCAGTTGTTAAACATCTAGCAACACACCTCTGGACATACCCTTTCCTTAAAAGTTGATTGCTGTGACCTGGTAGCACCCATTCTTTACACGTGTACCCTTCACCTGAACTGCTCTTCTCCTAAGTTGGCACATACTGCTCCTTCCGCGTGTGATTTCAACTCAGACGACACCACCCCCTGAGAGAGGCTGCTGTGAACATTGTTTCATAGCTTTTATCGCTCCCTGAAAACGTTTTATGTGTTTGTTTTTAATTGTTCACATGATCCCCCCATCCTAACCCCATCCCCCTACAAAATTTTTCTCTATTTTCTCAACAGCCTCCTTTTCTGAAAGAGTCCGGAACATGTCCCCTGATGAAATCAAGATCCCGCCTGAACCCCCTGGCAGATGCTCGAATCACTTACAAGTAAGCAGAGCTTGGCTGCAGAGGCCTGTGGCTGAGGAGGTCTGGGCCAGCTGTCTGATTTGTGTGACTTTAAGAGGCTTCTGTAAAAGAAACAGCCCGGGTGGGAGGGAGCCCTCAATGCTGGTTACCTCCCTTAGCCGGCTCTCAGGAGTTGACACTATCCCCACTGACATCCTCTGCCACATCACCTGGTGCTGCTCTAGCTGGGACACCCTAGCTTGCCCTCAGTGAGGTCCTGAGCCTAGGCAGAGAAGATAACATACCTTTTTTGTGCAACCCACTGAGTCAATGGGAGCATCTCAGAAGGAACTTTGCTAAGAAACTGAGAGACCATCAGGATGTAAAATAAACAAATTATAGAAATGCAAAAACACAAGCGTTTTTATGCATAAATTCCTGTTCTTGTATTCTCAAAATGCCAGATCACTAGCTTCCTGTCTGATACGACTTCATATAGACCTGACCTGAGGTTTTAAAATCCCAAAGAAATAGAGCATTTAGTGCAGTTATCCCCTGGAGAGCAGGACGTCAGGGGATAGCACCCCATTTCAGCCTCTGTGATTGTTTCTTATCCCTCTGGGATCCCCTGTGAGTGGAATCTTGTGACAAACAATGGGACAGACACTCAAGGCTGCCCAGCGGTGGCAGCCAGTCTACTTGTTCTACCTATGAGCCCACAGGTTCTGTTGGAGCCTCGGGCCACACTGCAGTCCCTTGACACCACCCTAACGGATGGATGACTAATGGGTCCTGGGGCTGTGAACGGCAGAATGCTGGGGCTGCAGGCACAGAGCAGATTCTCTTTTCAGGAAGTCTCCTCCCTTTGCTGAGTCAGCAACCCTCCCCCCCTGCCCCGCCCACCCCCGGCACCCCTGAGCGCAGTGCGGCTGGCACACCAGGCAGCAAGTCACTGCCTGTAAAGAGAGACAACCAGTGGCTGGGCCTCCTAGTTCAGAGTATTTCTCCTTTTCAGAGCCTCTTAATGGTAGAAAACATGACACAGCAAGCGTTTTCATTCACCTGAGATGGGGGAACCCAGCTGCTGGGCCAGGAAATACAGAAAAGTCATCTATAAGATAGAGGTCCACCTCTGCATGCCAAGCCTTCTGTATCTGACCTCCTTCACCTTTGTGACAACATGGAGGTGTGTCCCTCTTGGCTTCTCTTGTCACCTTTGTGACAACATGGAGGTGTGTCCTTCTTGGCTTCTCTTGTCCCTGGTAAATGTATTACAAACCTCTCTGCAATTCGGTGCTTCCTCTGGCCAGTCTAAGCAGAAAGTGGCCTGACAAAGCGAGTCGATCACCTCCCCTGATGATCCCAAAGGGCGTCACATGGGCCTTCCAGCCCAGCCCACCTCGCAGGTGAGGAGCACCCCAAATGTTTTCCTTCTAGAGACTGTGTCAAGTGCCGCTAGTGGGGGAGGTTGTAGAGAGACTCTCCCCTGAGATTGGGTTTCTGGGGCCTCTTCTTGTGTTCTGGGAAGCGCCAATGCCACCTGCTTCGGGCATCATCTCTGTGGGCCTTGGGACACCTGCGGCACTGGCCTGACTCCCCGCCAGGTGCTACTCTTTCCTATTAAAAGCCAGAGCAGGGCCAGGGGTAGGGGCGGAGGGTGATGAGAGCTGAGCTCTTGAGCTCTGATGGTGCCTCTTGATAAAGTGGCAGAGACCAAGCCATCTGTGGGGCCTCCCCACAAAGGACACCCTAGGAAGTCTGTGAGACCCAATCCAAAAAACTCTACTCCTGCCTTCCTCTGAAGGGACACAGCCTTCCGGGTCTCCCGCTGAGGACTTAACCCCGTGTTAAAATGTAAAACCAGCCTTCAGCCCCTGCCCATCACTGCTAGTGCCTGAAGCTCCTCTTCGGATGATTCAGGAGCTGATGAATCAGGTGGGGATCTGTCCATGGTCTTCTCCGTGGCTTCTCTGCCTTGACCTTTTATTACTCACCCTTCTAGCCATCCAGAGGGAGTCAGGAGAAGGCAAATGAGAACAGGCTGGTATCTCACTCGTGTTCAGCTCTGGTCAGAGGCTGGGTGGAGAAAGACAGCGTGGCCGGAGCAGGGCTTCACGTGGCTCTGTGGACCTCCTGTGTCCATGCGTCCACGCAGCATACGTGGCGGAGTACTGGGGTTGTGAGGGGTGCGGTGGGGTCATGAGCGCCTTCCGTTTCTCTTCCATAGGACAAGATCCAGAAGCTTTATGAGCGGAAGATAAAGGAGGGCATGGATATGAACTACATCATCCAAAGGAAGAAAGAGTTCCGGAACCCCAGGTGAGTTTCCCATGGGTCTGCAGGCTCAGCTGAGTCATTGATGTTGGACTGCGGACCAGGATGCCCCCACGGAGGTGGCAAGGCCAGGCCAGCTAAGATTTCACCTGAGCCCAAAGGGGTCAGGGCCATCACCCAGACTGTGTTATCCCAGCTGGAGGTTCACCAGTCTGAACATATAAACTGGTAGGTAGAGTAGAAGCCAGTGGACCTGGACCAGAACCGGGGAGGCCCAGCCAGGCTTTCATGCCCACTGTTCCTGAAGCACACGACCTCACAGGCCCTCGGTTTCCTCACCTGTGCAACGAGGGGGTTGGACGGGGCTGCCACTGCGGGTTCCTCTTCCCCCTCTAAAAAGTCATCGATTCTGCTTGCAAGTGAGGTTTTAGGAACAGAGCTGTCTCTGGGTCTTACTCTAACCAATGCCTAAGCAAGTGACACACCTGAGAAAGTTAGTCTGGTGTGGTAACAGCAGGGACCTGCCCTGGCCTTCGCGTGGGCCTGAGTGTGGTAGCCCCCAACCCAGCCACAGACTGAAGGTCAGATGTCTGGATGAGACCCAAAAAACACAGCCCTCCGCGCTTGTCCTGACCCCTGGCTAGCAGTCCATCTCCCTGCAAGAGCGGAGGGTTAGAAGTGACTTAATGTCAGGCCAGTGGACAGTTCTCCCATCAGGAAGCTTGCTTAGGACAAGTCAGCCGGGTTTAAAGGTATCGTCTGAGCCCAGGAGCTGGACGCTTTTGATCGAAATCTGGGATGAGGGCCTGCTCAGTGCCGTGTATTCTTTCAGCATCTATGAGAAGCTGATCCAGTTCTGTGCAATCGATGAGCTCGGCACCAACTACCCAAAGGTATGTCCCGCACGTGGAGGCTGAGGGAGAACACCCAGGGCCCTGTGCTTGCTCCGCTGGGTTCAGCCTGGAGCCACCAGAAGGTCTGCGCGGCAGCACTGCTGGCTGCAGAGCGTGATCCCGTCTCATGTTTGAGCCCCTGCTGCTGCGAAATAGTCCAGTAGGGACTGCGGTGGCACAGTGGCCGCCGGGCCCCTGGTTGGTTAGGGCCTGAGTGAGGATACTGTTCGTATAGAACAGCCCGCGGACAAACAGACCACTGCTCTCATATTCCTAAGAACCAGTTGGCCACCGCCTTAGCAGGCAGGAGACCAGGGCTAACAGCTGAGCCCCTGTGAACTTGAAAGCCAGGTGACTCCAGGCCAGGGAGACCCATGGCAAGACTTGAGGTTGGCGGGGAGGCTTGGCTTTCTAACCCATTTGTCATCCGATGGCCCTGAGTGCAGCTTTAACCTTTTTTTTTTTTTTCAGGATATGTTTGACCCTCACGGATGGTCTGAGGACTCCTACTATGAGGCGTTAGGTAGGTAGCCATCTATCCATTCATCTACCTGTTCGTCCACCTACCCACTGACTCATCCATCCATCAGCCTGTCTGTCCGTGTCAGTCACGTCGTCAGGCAGCATGTATTTCAGGGTCCAAGGAGCTGGTACACAGTCTTGGACAGACCCCATCTCTGACTTATGAGGCTCATAATACAGCAGAAAAGACAGAGGATCGAAGGAGGAATTCCATCAACGAGGGTTGTGATGATGGGGATGCAAGCAGGGCCACCTAACCAGGCCGAAGGGGTGGGGCGGTCTCGCTCAGGAAGCCAGTTTTAAGCAGAGGTTTGAGGGTGCACTGAGGCCAGCCCAACAGATGCAGACACTGTCCCAAGCCCAGGGACAGCATGTTCTGAGGTCAGCGAGGATGCAGCATTTTCTCAGGGGCCCGTTAGGGAGAACGGGGAGGGATTTCAAAGGGTCCAAGCCTTTAAGTGATAGGTTGCAAACTAGCAGCACATGGACCAGATTCAGCCGGTAGATGTGTTCTGTTTGGCCCACGTAGGTCTCATCTCGCTTTAATTTGAAATAGTTGCCAACATTCTGCCTAAAAATCCATAATTCCAGCTTCTCGTGGTCCGTGGGAAGGTAGTCCACACTGGGCCTCCCACATTCCCACAGGGCAGCCGTCAGCTGGAGCTCGGGAGCTGAGCCCTGACAGGAGATGCACAGCCCCGGCCCTGAGCCTTTGCATTGGAGGCCGTGGAGTCCCAAAGGCCACCTTAGTGCCTCGAACAAGGTCGCAGGGGTTGCAGCGAGTGATGGACTAGTAGTGTAGAAACTGTTCCGGCTGCTCTTGTAACAGCTTCTCTTGTCTTTGCAGCCAAAGCCCAAAAGATTGAAATGGACAAATTGGAAAAGGCCAAAAAGGAGAGAACCAAAGTAAGTGATGGACACACATCTTGGATGAAAAGGGCAGGGTTTGGAGCACGTGGGTCCTGCTGGCTGAGCCCAGAGGGCTTCAGACTGCTCTCCCCACCCCTGACCCCACCGCGGTTCATTGCCTGACGATGCTCTGAGCAGCCTTAGGTTCTCCTTGTGGACGGAACAGGCCTTGCTGGGTTTCCAGCCTCTGTAACTCAGCTTGAAGTCGCTTTCCAGTTGCTTCCATTTGGTTTCTTGGGGTCTTGTAGTTTGCTGCATGTACCCTCCCTCCTCTCCCCCTTACAGCTGCAGAGCCCTGCTGGCTTTCTCTCTTTGGGGTCATCAGTGTCCTCCGTGGCCTGAATGGAGGCAAGTATTTCCTTCCGAAAGTGCACTAGTCTCTGCCTTTCTCAGCCTCCAGAGCTGACCTTGGTGGCCTGCCTCAGTGCTTCCCTGTAGGTCCCCTGTCCAGTGGCCAGGTGACCCCTCATTTTAGGACCCTCAGCGCCGCTTCTTCCCAAGCAGTATGGGTCCTTTAGGGAATGGAAATTTGACTGAGACCAAATGTGCTCTGGACACTTTACGACCAGAGTCTCCAAGAGAGAAAGCTCAGGACAGAAACTGCTCCACATTTGGTTTGGCCTGACCCTCCTGCAGCAGCTGTGACCTCCAGGATGCCCCCCTCGCCCCCCAGGCAGAGGCTTCAGGGCCCGGGTGTGCAGCGGCCCTGTGGGAGCTGGTGCTGGGGGATGACCAGGTTTTCTTTCTTAACCCTTGATTGAATGTCCCTTCTCTCTCTTTACCTCCCCCTTCCAACCCAGGCTTATT